GATTTGTGTCCCCAAATGCCCCTCCATGTGGGTTCATCCACTGGGCCTACGAACAGCCCTGTAAGAAAGTCTTTCCCCTCCCAGCAGCCATCAATAGCCAAAGTTTCTCACGTTGGGTTGGGATTTCGTACCCACTTCCCATGTCTATATTGGGATTTTGTCTGATTTGACCTTGCATAGTACTTGTGCATGCTTCCACATTGCTGTGAGTTCATTTGAGTAAATGATCAGCTGTCTGGATCATTTCCTTGTGTTCATCCATCCCCACCTCTGCTCTTACTATCTCTACTGGTGCAGTAGTGGCACTTTTGCCCTGGGGGTAATTAGCAGCTAATTGTAATTAAAATGCACTCAATAGGAGTAACTCATGTGTGGTGCTATAAACACAGACAATTTCACATGACTGGAGAGTTCATAGATCCTAGAGAAAAATCTACTTTTTCCACATCCCTAGACCAACGTAACTTCTTACTTTATTCAAAATATGCAATCTCATATTTCTCGATAAGTGTACCTTTCACCCCTCACCAAAGAAGATTCTTTTTGCAATAGATGGAGACTATTACAGAGTTCCAGAACTGGTCAAGTGCATAGAATAAATGCCTTTTAAACACTTAGCCCTAAGTGATACATCTTCAGTGCAATCTCTATACTTAGGATGAATGCATCTCTTAACTCTAAAGAGAAGTTTCCTTACGTGGCAGATGGTGATTAACACAGAAACCCATAATTGGCCAATGTGCAGAGAACAGAAGGTCATAGAGTGCATCCCTCAATAGGACACCTATGTCAAACCTCTACCTCCAAGGCCCAGATATGGTTGTGTGTGGAAGAGGATGTGAAAAGATTGTAACATAGCCTATTTTTCAATTGGGTGGCTTGTTTTCTTGATGTTTGGGTTTTGGGGTTTTTTTGTATATTCTAAACTATTCTCAGATGTATAGCTGGCGAAGATGTTTTTCAATTCTGTAGCTCGCTCTTCACTGAACTGACAGTTTTCTTTGCTGTACAGATGTTTTTAATTTCATGAAATCCAATTTGTTAGTGGTGGTCTTATTTCCTGCCTATAGGCATCCTAATAGGCAAGTCCTTACCTGTCCCTATAAGTGTACTCCCCAACCTTTCCTCTAGCAATTTCAAGGTACCAGGTCTTATATTGAGATTCTTGATCCATGTGCAGTTGAGTTTTGTGCGGGGTGAGCGATAAGGATCTAGTTTCATTTTCTGAATGTTGAAAACCAGGCTTCAAGCACCATTTGTTGAAGATGCTCTGTTTTCTCCAATGTATATTTTTTCCAGTGTATATTCTTTTTCCAAAACATCAGGTAGCTGTAGCTTTGTGGATTTTTATCTGGGTCTTCTATTCAATTGATCCAATGTGTCTGCTTTTTCCAAGTGTCATGCTGTTTTTATTACTGTGGCTTTCTCTATAGTATAATTTGAAAGCAGGTATGAGGCTATCTCCTGCTATATTCTTTTTATTGAAGATTTCTTCGGTTGTTTTTGTATGGAGGCCTCCAAGTACATTTTGAGATTTTTTTTTCTGTGAAGAAAGACATTGGAATTTTGCTTGGGGTTGTATTGAATATGTATACAGATTGCTTTCTGGAGAACGGCTATTTTTCGAAAACATGATGAATTCTTTCAATCTATGATCATGGGAAGTCTCTCCATGTTTTAGTATCTTACTGTTCTAGCTTGTTTCTCCATTGCTGTGACAAAACACTCTGACCACTACCAACGTGGGGAGGAAAAGTTTTGTCTTACATCTCCCAGGTCACAGTTCATCAGGGAGCCCAAGGTAGGAATGCAGGGCAAGTACCTGGAGGCAGAGCTGGAGCACAGGCCATGGATGATTGCTGCTTACTGACTTGCTCCATGGCCCCTGCTTAGCCTGCATTCTTATGCAACACAGCCCCACCTACCCAGAGGTGGCACGACCCACAGTGGGCTGGGAACTCCCACATCACTCAACAGTAGAGAAGATGCCCGGTGGACACAGCCACAGGCCAGTCCTATGGAGGAAATTCCCCAGTTGAGGCTCCCTCAACCCAGGTGTGTCAAGTTGACACTAAAGCTATCCAGCACACGTACTCAGTTTCTCTTTTCAATATCTTAAAATTTTCATTGTAAAGCTATTTCATTTCCTTGATAAGGTTTATTTCCAATTTTTTGAGGCAGTTGTGAATGGGATTATTTCTTTGATTTCTTTTTCAGTACAGTTGTAGTTGGTGTGTGGGAAGGTATTGATTTTGTGGTATTAATTTTGCAGCCTGTCACATTGCTGAAAGTGTTTACCAGCTCTAAGAGGGTTCTGTTGGTGGGGTCTTTGGGGTCTCATGTATAGAATCAGATCATCTGCAAACAGTGATACTTGCCTTCATGTTTTCCTAATTGTGTCATTTTCCCTTCTCTTGCCTTGTAGATCTAGATAAGATTTCAAGCCCTATATCGAATAGGAGTGGAGACAATGAACACCTTTGCCTTGTTCCTGGTTTTAGTGGAAAGGCTTTGATTATTTTTCTCTCTTTGGAATGAAGTTGACTATCATTTTCTCATATATATAACTTTTATTATCTAAAGGTATGCGCCCTCTAGTCCTAGCTTCTCCATGACTTTTAAAAATCATTAAAAGATGTTGGGTTTTCCGTCATTTTCTGCATCTATTAAGAGTATGATGTTTTTTCTGTGTTTGTGTCTGTTTACATGATGGATAGCATGTTTTGATTTACCTGTGTAGAGCTATCCCTGCATCTCTGGAATGAAACACCAACTTGGTCATGATGAATGAACCTTTTGATGTGATCTTGAATCCAACAATGTTTATTGAGTATTTTTGTAACTATGTTCATTGGAGAGGCTGGTCCTAATTTCTTAAGTGGCCCATTTATCATTCAAAGGTATGCTGTTTACTCTCCATGAGTTTGTGTAATTTCCATAGTTGCTATTGCCATTGATACCTAGCTTTATTCCATTGTAGTCAGATAGAATGCAAGATCTTATTTCAACTTTCCCATATTTTTTGAGACCAGCTTTGTGTCATAATATGTGAACATTCATGGAGAAATTTCCATTTGCTGATGAGAAAAAAGTGTATTCTGTAGTGTTTGAGTGGAATGTTCTGTAGATGTTTAGGTCCATTTGCTTTATAATGTCATTTAACGCTGGTGCTTCTTTGTTTAGTTTTCTTCTGGATGACCTATTTGTAACAGTGGAATGTTGAAGTCACCCACTGCCCCTGCGTTGATGTTAATCTATGGTTTTAGATCTAATAGTACTTATTTTATGAAATTGGATGTCCCTGTGTTTGGTCTGTATGTGTTTAGAATTATTTCCTCTTAACGAATTTTTCCTTCATGAGCATGAAGTGACCTCCCTTAACCATTCTGTTTTGATTTGTGGTCTCTTTTCTCTAATATTAGAATAGATAACCTTGCTTACTTCCTAGTTTCATTTGCTTGGAATACCTTTTTCTATCCTTTTACCCCACAATGGTATCTATCGTTGATGATGAGATGTGAGTCTTGGAAGCAGCAAAAAGATGACTCTTGTTTTCTAATCCAATCTGCTAGCTTATCTTTTCAGAGAAATTGAGATTCTTGATATTTGGAGTAATTATTAAAAATATTTATTAATTACTGGCATTTTCTTAATTTTCTGTTTTCTTAGATCTCTTTTCATTTACTTACTTTTTATTTATACCTTGTAACTAACTGCTAGATGTGTTTATTCTTCTCTTCAATCGAAAACGTTCTTTCTAGCATCTTCTGTAGTGGTCATAAATTTCTTTAATCTGTTTTTATCATGGAACGTTTTACTTCTTCTTAAGTTATAATAAATAGTTTTGCTAAGCATAATAGGATAGGTTGGAACTTGTGGTTTTTCAAAATATGTCTTTTCTGGTCTTTCTGACTTTAAAAGTTTCTATTGGACAACTCCCTGCACCCCACCATCTCTGCTCACAGGCCTTTTCCAGTCACCCTGGCATTCCCACAGATCTGTGAGCTTTCCCAGATTTTCTTTGGTGGGTTCCCATTCCCACAACTCCCTGTGCCCTACCACCTCAGTACTCAGGCATGCCCCCAGGCCTATGAGCTTTCCCACACGTCTCTGAGTCCTGACATCTCAGCTCTCAGGCTTTCTTGGGTTGCTAGGACCCTTGTGTGCCGCCAGACTTGCAAGCTCTCCCAGCCTGAGATATCAGCCAATCTGTTCACCTAGAAACCCATCCTGTTGCTCCAGGAGCAAGAGGACTCAATCCTAGAACCTCAACTCAAAAGTCACACCTATCCGTTGCTGATCTGAGATCACATCTTACACCCCATTTTCACATCAACATAAAACGGCCCCCAAATTGAACACTAAGCACTACTCAGATGAGCCAACCTAACAAGTTGGGGAAGCAGCAAGCAAGGAAACAAGCAGCCATTCAACAAAGACGAATCAGCTACCAATATATGCCAAGAAACACCACTAACAAGGGGAGATACCCAGGTCTCATCAAAAAGAAATCACAAACAACAAGAATAACAAAGATAATACGTCTACTACAGAAATTAGCACCTGCATCATAATGTTTCCTGAGAATGGCAAACTAGTGGATGCAAAAGAAAATGATTTCAAAGTAATAATTATAAGTATGTCCAAGGAACTAGAGGAGGAGATGAATAAAAGACAGAATGAAGGTTGTGAAGACACAAACGAGCAGTTGAATTAAATGACTAAAACAATTCAAAACATTAAATTAGAATTCAGTAAAGACAGAATCTCTAAGGGAAAACCAAACTGAAATAGAAACCTCAGGAAATCAAAATAAAAAGCTTAGAAGACAGAAGCACAAAGGAAGTGGGGGAAACGGAACAGGGAATATCAAAATTGAAGACAGCTCGGGGAAGTGGGTCACTCAAAGAAATCTAAAATGCCAAATCTGAAATAACCCAGGAACCGAATATGCAAGACCTATGGGACACCGTAAAAAGATCAAACCCACTAGTAATAGGCAAACAACAAGAAGAAACCCAGATCAAAGGGACAGAATATATTTTTTGTCTTTTTGAGACAGGTCTCCCTGTAGCCCCAGCTGTCCTGGAACTCATTATGTAAAGCAGGCTGGCCTTGAACTCACAGAGATCCACCTGCCTCTGCCTCCTGAGTGCTGGGACTAAAGGCATCACCACCAAACCTGGCTCTAGAAACCTCTGAGACCTCTGTACACATGTAGTGCATATACGTAGATGCAGGCAAACATCCATACACATAATAAACATAATAATAGATTTGAACATATGTACACATAAATAAACATGCAGCTTCTAGGCCAGCTGCATAATAGATGAAGATGGCCAAGAAATAGAACATAGAAGAAAGAGCAAATGTGGTAGATAATGAAGCATTCCACTGTGTACAGGTCAGAAAGCATCAAGTAAAGATGTCCACTGGGAAATGAGAGTGAAGACTGGGAACAGGAGAAAGTCTAGAATTCAGGACGTGATCCGCACCACATCAGAGAAGAATGGAGTATAGTTTTGGATGCCATCACTTCGAGGAGAAAGCAAGGACACAGGTGAACCAAGGTTGGAAACGTAGACAATGACATCCATGCACTTAAGACCCAATGATGAACGGATGCTCTCCCTATTTCTGAGATCTTGGGGAGAATGAGGAGAATCAACTCCACATCTCTCAATGTAAGATTTTCTTTTCTTTGTACAACCATCACAAGAGTACAATAAGACTATGAATGCAAATTTTATTGATAAATTTGAAATAACAAGGAGAGAAAAGAGCTTCTCCAAGAGGATGAACAGACTCCAACTTCCTTCCTCACTCTCAGAAACAAGCTTGTAGAGTCACAATATGAATCAGCTTCTGGGAATACAAAACAACTATTAACTAAGCAAACAGAAAGTCCATTTTAGATACAAACAAGGTAATAGAAAAAATACAAAGGAGATATGGAAACAAAAGAGAAATAATGAAGGGCCGAGGTCACTTTCTCAGAAGCAGATTAAGTAAGGAACTTTAAAAGTATTTTATTTATTATTCTTATTTTATGTGTATGAGGGTATTGCCTGCATGTATGTGAGCGCAGCCCATGCTATGCCACGGAGGTCAGAAGAGGGCTTCAGATTCCCCTGGAACTGGAGTTAGGGACAGTGTGTAGCCACCATGTGGGTGCTGGGAATCAAACCGGGGTCCTCTCAAGGGCTCTTTACCGCTGAGCCATATCTGCAGCCCAGGAATTTTTATTCAACGATGAAAAGTTTTGTTTAGAAGATAGAGCATAAATGTACATGTGCCAGTATGTCTCGGCTGTTGCACTGTAGATATGAGCTTCTCTGTGCTGCTTCTTTGCTAATGTTTCTTCATAAAAGAAGCAAATTCTTCAATTCTTTTTTGTTAATGAAAAGAGTGAGCACAAGACTTAGATATTTAAGTCAGTTTTGACATGGGAAGACAGCATCATCTAGGATGGAATTATGGTAATTAAGAAATAAATTTCAGTTAAACAATTTTGCAATATGCTTGCCAGGGTCAGATAGAATAAACACATTCAAAAAGTAATTACTGGGACCCATGTTCCATCAATTACACATGGTTATTTATTGCATGACTTTGAGTGGAAGATATAAATTAACATCTGACCCTATCTGGGATTTTCACCAACAGCCAAAAGAGTGACTCATTCAAGTTCAACCGGAAGAGTAAAATGAGCCTATGAGGCATCACTTTTGAAGTAGTGGGTGACTATGAACAGTTGTCCGGAAGTTGCTAAACTCTGGCTTACCAAGGTCCTCTCTTATGTAGCTCTAAGTCTGCAGCAGATTTGGTGCAAAGCTAAATTCAGAGCACTACGTGGTATCAAAGCAGTAGAGGTGACTACAGACTTAGACAACATAAGGCATAGACAGAACCAGACTGAAAAAGTCACACATGTATGTGTTTACTCTTACCCTATTCAGAGATTCTGACGATGTCAGCAAACACTGTTCAACGACGATATGAATAGCCTAGTGGGCTTCAGTCCACACACAGAATTAAATGACTAACTGTTGCATGATGGAATTAATCTAGCTCGGATTCAGAGAATTAGACTCTACACTACTGAATGTTTTGCAGACGCTCTACGTAGTACATAACCCTCAAATATTTCATATGAGCAGAAGGTTTTATGGTGGGATAAGAAAAAGGTCTACAATAATACTCACAATGTAAATATATGTGCTGGAAAAATTATTTTAAAATCTGAATAGCCATCACAGGAAGAAGAGAGTTTTCTTCTTAGAAAGGACTCTCACTAGAGCTCCCTTCATGTCTCTGTTCCTCAGGCTGTAGATGAAGGGGTTCAGCATGGGAGTCACCACTGTGTACATCATGCCCATGACAGTCTCCTTCACAGCTGAATTATTAGCTGATGGACACAAGTAGAGACCAATGACTGTCCCATAAAACAGTGACACCACAGACAGGTGGGAGCCACAGGTGGAGAAGGCTTTACGGATTCCCCGAACAGAAGGAACTTTGAGAATGGAGGACACGATCCGTGCATAGGACACAATAATGAGCACAAATGGGATCACAAGAATGATGCCTCCTGTGATGAATATCACCAACTCGTTCATGTGGGTGTCAGAGCAAGCCAGCTTCAGCAGAACAGACATGTCACAGAAAAAGTGGGGGATCACATTGTCCTCACAGAAAGACAATCTGGCCATGAGCAGGGTGTGCAGCATAGCATGGAATGTGGTCAGCACCCAGGACAGAAGCACTAGAGAGGCACAGAGCTTGGGGCTCATGATGCTGGTGTAGTGTAGAGGGAAGCAGATGGCCACATAGCGGTCATAGGCCATGGCCACAAGGAGGAAGCTCTCAAGATCCCCAAACCGTCATTTTCTGCATCTATTAAGAGTATGATGTTTTTTCTGTGTTTGTGTCTGTTTACATGATGGATAGCATGTTTTGATTTACCTGTGTAGAGCTATCCCTGCATCTCTGGAATGAAACACCAACTTGGTCATGATGAATGAACCTTTTGATGTGATCTTGAATCCAACAATGTTTATTGAGTATTTTTGTAACTATGTTCATTGGAGAGGCTGGTGTGTAACTGTTCTCTCTCTCTCTCTCTCTCTCTCTCTCTCTCTCTTTCTCGCTCTTGCTCTCACTCTCTCTTGCTCTCTCTCGCTCTCTCACACTCTCTCCTTCTCTCCCTCTCTTCCTGTGTTTGTGTGTGTGTGTTGGTTTTCAATATCAGGGTAAAACTGGCTTATATAAAGAATTAAGAAGACCCTTCCTGTTCTATTTCATGGAATAATTTAAATAGTATTTGTAGTGATTCTTCTTTGAATTTCTTGAAGAATTCTACAATGAATCTATATACTCCCAGGCTTTTATTCATCACTAAATCCAAACCATCCATCACATTTGAGTTTATCAGTTACCACTGTATGTGACAGTATTGGCTCTTCCCTCCCATCTGAAGCACACTCACTGATTCATTCTGTGATACACTGGTTCATATACGGTTCCATGACCATTAATCATCAGTCATCGTAACTGGTTTCTTCTCTAACTGTATATTCCATATTGCTAGAGCATTTTCCTAAACACTGTTTCCTTGTAATTCCATAGCTACAACCTTCAAAGTGCTCTCATGGCATCTATTGCCTCTTTAACGTCATGAACAAACCCATCAGCTCCAGTAGCTATCATCAGGTACTTTTGATTAGCTCATGGCAAACACATCAAGACCATCTTCAGCTCAACAGCCCCCATATGAAACTCATGATTCCCCGTGTGCTTCTCCCAACCCACTCCCCAGTTTTTTTATACCACCTCTAAAGAAATCCAGGCTCAAGACCAAATCCTCTAGTTTTCCTTCTCATTTGGTTCTCCTCACCCTCAATGCCTGGGTGTTGGTGAGACCATTTTTGTGTAGACTTAGTACGGTCCTGCACAGTAGTGGACAGTTTGTGATTGCAATGACTGTGCATTGCCGAGAAGATGATATTTTGTTGTCCATCTCCCTATCTTCTTGATTTTGCATTTTTTTCTGCTCCCTTTTGCACAATATTTTCTGAAGTTTGGAAGGGCTGGTATAGTTGTATTTTTTAGGGCTGGCCTGCTATATAGCCCAGACTGACCTCAAACTGACCAGTCTCCTGCCTTCATCTCCAGAATGCTAGGATTACATGTGTGTCACGGAAAGCGCATTTGATTCTTTCTAATTTAACCATGCTTTCCCCAGTTTCCCACATTTGGATCTGGTTAGCACTGTATGAGTTTGGAAGGGCTGGTATAGTTGTATTTTTTAGGGCTGGCCTGCTATATAGCCCAGACTGACCTCAAACTGACCAGTCTCCTGCCTTCATCTCCAGAATGCTAGGATTACATGTGTGTCACGGAAAGCGCATTTGATTCTTTCTAATTTAACCATGCTTTCCCCAGTTTCCCACATTTGGATCTGGTTAGCACTGTATGTTGTCCGGACAGTTAGAACAGCCCGTGGTTTCCTCTTCCTGCATCTGCATTCATCCTGTTTTGATTTCTTTACTCTTTGGCTGTCTGGGATTAAAATCTGGACATTATCATGCTGAATGATTCTTATAAGGACACAAAAAATAATATCATCTGATGCACTGCCAAGACATGCCCTACACAGCAGTGTGTGACATATCAGTCGTAATTTCTTCACACTAGCCTTTCACATTTGATCTTCCTCCTGCCTTGCTTCATCTTCCCTCTGCTCCCACTTCACCTGGCTTAGCTTCAGTTTATCTTTCATACATATTACATATGACTTGATCTGTAAAACCTTTCATGCCTCCCTAGGTAAGACCAGGTGCCATGTTCTCAAGAAAGACCAGCTGCCATGTTCCCACAGCATCCTGTTTTCATCCCATAGCACTCAATGCCCTGATCATGGGTTTGTAGCTGACTTCCCATTAGAAATTCAAATTCCATGCAAGAAGGGCTGTGGCTCCATCTTTTCCAATAGAGAGCACCTGACCTGGTGCCTGAATGGGCACCGAGATGTAGACTCCCTCAGCTTCAAAGGCTGCAAACTCCTAAGTTAGAGTCACCACTACTAAATACTAGGACTCCCTAGCTTGAACTATTAGCATTAACTTTGGACACCTTATTACATAATTACTTGGTATAACTTCAGACCCATGGACACTATTGTACTACCGAAAAATTCATTATACATTTTACATGAATATTCTCTCCTTTGTGTTAATGAACTTCTGATTTGTTGATGTTAGGATGAAACATACGATGAATTTAGTAATTTGGGAACAAAGGATGGAAAGAATTTCTACGTTTGAGACCTCACTCCAGTTTGTTTCCAGTTATGTGCGTACCTTGGGTGCCTCAGAGCTGACTAAGAAACCTGAAGAGGGACAATAGGCACATGGAAACTTTGTCCTCTCAAGATGAATAACTGAACCCAAGTTCTAGAATTTTCATCCTGCTGGTGCTGTTTAGTCTAGCTGAGATGACAGTATTTGTTGTCTGCTTGCTTGCTTGGTTGCTTTTATACACTGAGATATAATATGCTGCTGTAGCAATAAGGAAAAGCATCAGTGAAACTTTACATACTTGGCATCTCAAAGCACTGCTTTCTTGAGAAATGAGTAAGACCTGTATCTGGCATCTAGACGTTATTATGGCTCACAAGTCAAGGGACATCGCCTGAAGACAGTGCCATGGATGAGAACTATGAGTTTCAAGAGTTCCCAGATGGCGCTCTCATCTCCCTCACTTTTGGGAGATCCTGCTGCTAAGGTTCCAGTCCACCATGTCCGGATAGCTCTAAGGGGCTCAGCGGTATATGGAAGGACTCCCTTTCTCAGTGGGGGCCTCCTGCTCTCTACCTGATTTACCTGGAAAATGCCATGAAGCACGGATCCCTGACCTTATTTGGAACATGACCTTTGGCATAGTTACCTGCAATAAAACTGCCCCTAGGTATTTTCTATATGATAATTAGGCATTACCCTATAGCAAGATGATAGGATCTCCCAACCACATGTAAATAAAGCATACTATGAGCACCTATCAGCTGAAGCTTTGGCTGCTGCCTCCACACTATATTTTCCCTAACCCCCATAGGGGATGGAAGGCACTTGGGTCTGCATGTTCTGCAACAATTTAGGCATTGTGACAGAGGAAAAGCAGAAGTCAGAGAAAGACAAGTTGCTGAGAACAACAAGTTGTTGGATTGGTGGCCAATAGCCCTTGAGGAGAGGGAGAGACCCACACCTCACCTGATACCTATTCAGGTCTCTGTCCAGGCTGCATGTAAGAATCATGAAGCACATAGGTAAAGATAGAGCCCAATGATTAGTGTCTGCCTAGCATGCACGATTCTCTGGGTTCAGACCCCAGAACTGCATAATAAAAAAAACACAGGGATTTCTAAAAATTTGCTTTATATATGAAGCACCTGATTACTTTGCTAAATGCTGATCTGAACTCTGTAGGCTTGATGTGGCACCTAAAATTCTGCATTTTAGAAGTCCAGATTTTTAAGTTAGCAATAGCGCTGCTGGTCTGTAGATCATGCTTAGAGTAGAAAGATTATATAGCATATTTTTTTACTACAGATTCCTGAGCTGTCCACCAATAGATGTGATCATAACCTTTTAGAGGAAGCCTTTCTGCAGTATTTTGAAGCTCTTTGAATATCCAATTATATAGCCAAGTGTTAAACCCTCTGTAACGGATTCCTATGTCACAGAGATGTCATTATGCAGAAAGGACTCAATCTTGTGAGAACACACTTCATACTAATATTAATGACTACTGTTATTAATAAATGCCATGCTATAAATGACAACTAAATCCTGCAGAACATCATACACCCTGTAAAATCAAAACCCTCAAGTTGAAGAAACACTAAGGAACCAGCTCACCCACCTTCCCACCAACTTACCGAGAATGTTTCAGGGTTACTCCAAGGACCTGGTCCAAGATCCTGCTTCCATTTATTCATTATAGACATCGGGAGAAACAGTCTCTGCAGGCACCACCAATGCCTGTATCCACCCCTGCTCACATTTGTCATTCTATGCATCCCTGGGCCTAAGGGGCATTGCATCTCAGAGGAGTCTAGCTCCTGAAGGAATTCATTAGAAACAATTATGCAGGAACTACTGAGAACCAATTTCCTCAGAGTCATGTATTTTTAACTAACTGTACTGCCTGATCACACATGACTGTACTTTGGGGGAATGGTGGTAGTGGAGAGAAGTGATGGATGATATTAACTCATCTCCTATTTACAT